CTTGAACTGGATCTAACAGCTTCACATATGTTCTGTGTGTTCGGATCTGCAGAGAAAAGTGCAAAACAAGCAAAAACATGTTGTTTCCTCAACAAAAGAGTCATTTCTGATTTAAAATAATGTGTAAATTGGAGTAGTTTTCCCTTCACACGAGGACATTGCTGTTATCTAATCAGATGAAAGAAGAGTGACAGAGTTTAATGCTGTCCATAAACCAGTTTGGTTCTGAACAGAGAAGATGACAAGGGGGGGTTAGGTGAATTTAGGACTGAAACAATAGTCATTTATTTATGCTAAGGATTTAGTGTGGAAGCTGCCTGGCCAAACTCTTTAGGCCTCCTTGGATCAATAAGCTACAAGCCGCTAAGTGAGTTAGACTCAAAATGGCCGCCTCTCCTTTGTAGGCTTTCTTGCCTTCTTACATTCTAGCAACGGCACACCCTGGGCTCCAGCTGACAGCCGCTGACAGCCAGGTGAAACCAAGAGACCAGGATCGTGATGTGTGAGCTGGAAGACCGGGAGGAGTCAGTACAGGGAGCTAGTGTTTTTCTAAACAGACAGAAGACATCACAGAGGAGCTGGCTTTTGTCGTCGTTGCTGGGGTGCAACGTAATTTGGCAACTACAGGTTTCGGACTGCAGATCAGGCCACACAGCCCGGGTTTTTATGATCAACACCTCTTCATCACATATGACCTCGAAGAGATCCTTCTTTCCATGTGAAAGAGTTCCCTGAAGACTTACCGTCCAGGCCTGTAGGCAGGGAAGGCACATTAAACCATTCCCAGCAGCCTTTATTGTGTTATTACAATCAGGTCAAAACACAAGAGCTAGTCATTCAAGTACTACTACTATTAGTAGTAGTAGTATCAGTTGTAGTGACACAGGCAATATGTAGCAAGGATAATAGCCCTGATCTGTAGTGGTTATCCTTTAAAACTACCTCGCAGCTCCCGTTCTGTGCAGGATAGGACATTCCAGGTCTCTTATGATCAGCAAGGTCTGCTTTGGAGAACATGAATGTAATTTCCTCATACACCCTACTCAGATATTCAGACAGCTGCTTATAAAAAAAAAAGCACAACTGAAGGCACGGTCGTTTATTTCACAAAGTTTTATTGAATTCAACTTCTCTTTGTTGTATTCACTTTTTAAGAATTTGCCATCGTAGCTGTATAAATAATGTTTTTGACAGACACCTAGGAATTTTCAAAGCTGAAAGTCAGGAAGCACAGGGATTCATCACTTCCTATTGCAATTCCCGAAATCCCCCCCCCCCACACAAAACACCACTGCTCCCTGGCAACACAGATTGCAGTTTCACACCTGGGTTGACCTCCCAGCCAAGCAAAACACATTGAAAGCTCTTACAAATGCTTCCAAGGAAAAGATCAAATTATCTAAATGAGATTGTTGATCAAAAGGTTTAGCTCATTTATTTCCTTTTGTTTCAGCTTCAGTTACTAGCCATGCTAAATACATCACCAGGAAAGACTTCTGGGGCTCACTGCCAGAATGTCCACACAGTGCGTAAACTGGTGTTACACAGAGGTAACACACTGAGGAGAGACACTGATTCCCCCACGTCATTGTCACTGCCTGGCTTCTCTCTCTCTTGCTGTTTCTTGGACCTGTTCCGCTAATCACAGGACCCAGAAGTACAACCTTCATTCCTCTGCCTTCCTGAGGCTACGACAGCTATTCAGAAAGAGCAAAGTGATGGAGCTTGAGCTATAAAGGAAAGAGAGGCTTAAACCTCTACCCACTCATTATTGTGGAGAGGGATCCCATTGCTATGTGCCAGCATAAGGACACAAACCCTAATGTCCAGGCAAAATTGTGTTCTGGCCTTCATAAAGGTCCTCCTTCATGCAACAGGTGAAGCGATTCTTCACCTCCCATCCTGACCTGCGGTGCAATGACAGCTAGTGGCACATGGAGGACGAAGCAGGTTCATCATCATCAATGTCAGTGGGTTGAAGGAATATGAAGGAAGTAACCCTGATGTCAGAATGCTTTCTGAAGCAGTATCGCAAGCCAGAAGGTGACATCATTAAACGTCACAGTCTGACACAGTCAGAGAGGGTAGAAGAATTAGCGCAGCAAAGCCAAGCGTCATTTGTATTGAATGCTCACCCATCATTAGACATCCACTTATTCCTGATAGGGGTCATAGCAACCTGGAGCTTATCCCAGAAGCGCAGGTGCAGGGCAAGACTGCACTAGTCCATAGCAAGGGGCCTACAAGCCCTCAGGGACATTTTAGTGCCACTGATTTCCAGGGAAAGATCATGCAGACTCCTCACAGAAGGTACCCAGTACAGGCCAGATTCAAAGACACGAGAAAAAAAACCCTGGGAGGAACTTGCTGACCTCGACTTGCTGACCTCTGCACCACTCTGCTATCCCTATTTTTAAATGCTTTACAATCTTAGAACTAGTTATTGCATTTGATTTCATATCATGCTTTTACTCTGTTTTTATTACATCTTGTGCTGCTTTTAAACGTACAGCTGTTTTCATAACACAGCCCTGAATGCTGGTTTTGGTCCCGTTATTCTTAGAGCAGTAGAATGACATGAGGAAAAACTCCAAAAGTATTTCAGGAATGTTGTTCAGTTACGGTTCAGAAAAAAAGTGGTGTTGATTAAAAACAGAGGTTGAGCAGAAGCTGGCCTGGCATCTTTAAAGTCCACTAATTTCTATGATGTTACAAGTATTCGTTATTCCGTTTGAAAGAAAAGGTCAAAATTCGTTGTTCAGTTTTAACGAAAAGGTCAAAAGCGCCACGAGCTGATCAGGCCACTGCGTCGCCGGAGCTCTCTTGTCAACAGAGAAATGGGTTGACCCCTTGGTTCACTGGACTCGCTGTCTGTGACGTCTGTTCGTGAACACCCCAGCTCTGACACGGGTGCATTAGACAAATTAATCCAGCAGCCGAAGACATGCCAGACTCCTCAAGTCATTTCTAATAATGCCTAGTGCCTGTGCCTAGGTCTCCCATTTAAGTTTACAGACCAGAGGCCTGGCAAATCAATGTAGTAACTCAAATTGAATAAGGATGGTACTGTGTTGTGAAAAATGTGTCAATGTGTACAGTCCTGCTGTGCTGATTAAATTACCTGCCCCCCACCTTTGTCTACTGTAACTCTGCTTTAAATGCTCCACGAAAGCATGTGATTCACCTTGTTTAATGAAGTTGAGGAATTAATAATAGCAGAGGCCTGGCAGAGAGAAGTGTGCTCCCCAAGACCTCCCTGTACATGTAGTTCAAGTAGGGAGCTGGGTCAGCATGCGTAGGCTGCAATG